AGGGAAGAAAGCGAAGCTCATCGAGGTGGCAGAGGACTAAATTGCAGGGGGGTCTCTGTGGGTGCTAAAGGCAGGGGACGCCGGACAGGCTTACTATGTACACCGGGATCCTGCTAGTTCGGGGCTAGATCACCAACAACTATAAGCTGGGAGGACAGGCCATGATCAAGCTTGTAGTGCCTAAATCCTCATATTCCACAACATTTCCCTTTACAGCGAGGAGTGCAGAAAGCTCCCTCCATCTGTCTTGAGCAGTTTTTCAGGGAGCCCCACGAAAAGTGTCACCAAAGTACTGAGGTTATGGCTGCAGAGCCCTTTTTCCCTCATCCTCGCTCAGCCAAGATGCACCAGACCCGTGCTCGCTGCTCTTGCCGGAAGTGTGGCTAAGGTTATAGGAAACGACCAGCGCTTTGACCTGCGTGGGCGGGGCCAGAGGAGCGTTTGTAGCGACTTCTTGCTTGGCACCGGAAGTGTGTCTGTGTAGACCGGGTGCTTGGAGGCGGGTCAGGAAGTGTTCTCCAGGAGGAGGTTTCGCGGGGAAGCTTTTGCGGCTAGAACACTTCCTGTTTCCTAGTAACAATAGGAAGTGTCCGCGGAGCTGGGGGTACTCTTGGCTCGTGTCAGCTGCGCCCTTTTTACTCTACCTCCTTCCTTCTCCCGCTTCTCCCTTCCCTCTCCCCCTCCCCTCCCCACCCCCTGGGACCCCTGGCGGAGTGTGCGTGTGTGGGAGCGCGAGAGCCCCCCACAGCCACCCCTTGGGGCGCACGGCTGCAGTTAGGGTGAGGGTCCCAGTGCGCAGGCGCGCTCCCGTTCGCGGTCCCCAACGGACGCACCCGCGGCGGGAACGAGAAGGGGCCACCCGTGTGAGGTAGGGGTCTTAAGAGGAAATCGGCCGAGATGATCAGTGAGGCGAGAGGACTCGTTTGATCCGGAGATCAAACGATCAAGACAGGGGATTCACTCTTGAGCGAAGGGGCTTTGAGAAGTGAGAGTTCGGGGAGCAGGTTCAGTGAGGGGGGTTAGTCGGCGATAGTTGTACTGGGGTCCATTGGAAGTAAAGGATCGGAAAGCCCAGGTGATGGAGAAGGCTCGGGGTTCTGCCATGGAGAGGGCAAGAGCTTTGGGAAGGAGGTTGCCTCCATCAGTGGGTTTGCTCGTGTGTATCCTGGGACAGCAGGCATTGCCGTGTGTTGTGGGGAGTAAGTGACAACAATGGATATTCTTTATTTAGCACAGTGTTCGGTCCGCGGTAATGCTCAATTAGCATGCATTGCTGTCATCAGTATTATGAGAGGAGGTAGAAGAACAGAAAGGCAGCAGCGAGGCTATAGTGAGGAGGTGTCAGAAGGAAAAAGGTAGAGAGGGTGAAGAACGACCAGAAATGGGATGGAATTTCCGTGATGGGAGATAGTGTGGGTTCAGGGGAAGTAGGTGAAAGAAGCGGCCAAGAAAGTCTTCTAGAAAGGAGACTTTGTGACCATGAAAGGAATAGGGGACGTGGGGGCACAAGCCAGCCCCTTCTCTGAAGGGCAGCCCTGACTTCATCTCTCAGGCTCTCATCTGTCAGCTGGAGAAAGACTACATTTTCAGTGCCTCTGGGCTACTCTGCTTAGCTGAGGGGTAAGGATTGGACATCTCTTGTTCAGAGCCCTAGAAAAGGTTCAGGTTTCCTTTTAAGATGTCACAGGAGATAACGTTGTTTGTTTCAGAATTATAGAGAGAAGGTTAGGGGCAGTAAGACCTTTTGGATTTGGTCTGAAGAACAGGTTACTAGGTCTGCGATCAGAAGCCAGTTACATACCTCTAGACCAGCGGTTCTCAACCTGTGGGTCGCGACCCCTTTGGGGGTCAAATGACCCTTTCACAGGGGTCACCTAAGACCATCAGAAAACACATATATAATTACATATTGTTTTGTGATTAATCACTATGCTTTAATTATGTTCAATTTGTAATAATGAAATTGGGGGTCACCACAACATGAGGAACTGTATTAAAGGGTCTCGGCATTAGGAAGGTTGAGAACCACTGCTCTAGACTTTCCCTATCTCTACCTCTAGGGATGAGTTAGGCCCAGGGAAGCTCCCACATCTGGGGAGCTTGTGTACAGAGTTGCTTTACGTGATGGTGCTTCCAGATTAGATCCCGTAGGAAGCAGGTCCCTGGGCATTGCTGCGTGGGGAACCTCTCTGTGACCTCTGGTGAACTTCTTGCTTATACAGCCAAGAGATAAAGTTAATTCAGGCCTTCCTTCTCACCACTGCCCTCTCTTCCTAGGCTTTGGGCACCACCAGAAGATGCCTCTGCCACCTGCCTGCTCCTCCTGACCCTCCAGGTTTCTGCCACACTGCCCCATGGAGGATGTGCCCACCTCACTCAGCTGCTGTGACTGTCAGCACCACTTTCCTAGTGTCCTGGAACTGTCAAAACACCGTGAACTGCTCCATCCATCCTCCAGCCAGGACAGTGAGGAGGCTGATAACATCCCTCCGCCCTACCGCTGTCAGCAGTGTGGGCAGGGCTACCGTCACCCAGGAAGCTTGGTCAACCACCACTGTACCCATGAAACTGGCCTTTTCCCCTGTACCAGCTGTGGCAAGGACTTCATCAATCCCATGGCCCTCAAGAGCCACATGAGGACTCATGCTCTTGAGGGAAGCCCCAAGGAAGCCACTCCACGCCTCCAGGGGGAGACAGTGTCCACTGACTCTTGGGGCCAGAGGTTTGGCCATAGGGAAAGCTGGGAGAATCAGAAAAAACATGCCGAAGAGACACCTGGCTGTGATTCTGGGCCTGACCCCAGGGCAGCTCTGGACACCTGGGAAGATCCACCCATCAGACAAAGAGGAGACTGGGAAAGCCAGCCAAATCCTGAGGAGGGTGCGGAGGGCTGGGGGTCCATCACCAACTCTGCCAGGGCCCCGCTGCTCTCCACTCCAGCCAGCAGCCTCCTTAGCAACTTGGAACAGTATTTGGCTGAGTCAGTGGTGAATTTCACAGGGGGTCAGGAGCCCACCCAGTCCTCGCCTGCAGAGGAGGAACGGCGGTACAAGTGTGGTCAGTGTGGCAAGACTTATAAGCACGCGGGGAGCCTCACCAACCACCGCCAGAGCCACACCCTGGGCATCTACCCTTGTACCATTTGCTTTAAGGAGTTCTCTAACCTCATGGCTCTGAAGAACCACTCCCGACTCCATGCCCAATATCGGCCTTACCAATGTCCCCACTGCCCCCGTGCCTTTCGGCTGCCCCAAGACCTGCTGGAACACCAGCAATCCCATGAGGGAGAAAGACAGGAGCAGCCGTGGGAAGAGAAAGGGATGCCCACCACCAATGGGCACACAGACGAGAGCAGCTGGGATCAGCTCCCTAGTACACCGATGCTGAACGGCTCTGGGGAACTCAGCGTCTCTGGGGAGCTGGAGGACAGTGGGCTGGAGGAGTACCGACCTTTCCGCTGTGGGGACTGTGGCCGTACTTACCGCCATGCTGGGAGCCTTATCAACCATCGCAAGAGTCACCAGACAGGTGTCTATCCTTGCTCCATCTGTTCCAAGCAGCTGTACAATGCAGCTGCTCTCAAAAACCATGTGCGCGCTCATCACAGACCCCGGCAAGGAGCTGCAGAGGATGGGCAGCCATCCGAGCTGCCACCTCCTTTGCCTCTGACGGAGACCACCCACAAAGAGAGAGAGGTTCCCACCGCCACCCTGGACCACCGCCCCTATAAGTGCAATGAATGTGGTCGGGCTTACCGCCACCGGGGGAGCTTAGTGAACCACCGCCACAGCCATCAGACAGGAGAGTACCAGTGCTCGCTCTGTCCCCGCAAGTACCCCAACCTTATGGCCCTGCGCAACCACGTGCGGGTCCATTGCAAGTCTGCTCGTCGCAGCACAGGCCCAGGGGCTGAAGGTCCCCCCAGCCACCTCAAGGTGGAGTCTGACTCAGTGGGAGCAAAGGCAGCCCCATGTACAGATCAAGGGACTGGGTGCAAACAAGAAGAGAAGGCCACTGATGTCCCCCCAGTAGCAGATACGACAGCACCACAGATACGCGACATGCGTGGAATGCTCTTTGAAGATCCTGAGAGCCTTAAGCATCACAGCCGGACCCATGGAGAAGGGGGAAATAGCAGGACAGAGGCCAGGGTGTCACCTCCTCGGGCATTTGCCTGCCGGGACTGTGGAAAGAGCTATCGCCACTCAGGCAGCCTTATCAACCACAGGCAGACCCATCAGACGGGGGACTTCAGCTGCGGGGCCTGCACCAAGCACTTCCACACCATGGCTGCCATGAAGAACCATTTACGACGCCACAGTCGGCGGAGGAGCAGGCGGCCCTGGAGGCGGACTGGCAGTGCTGGGGGTGGGGGAGAAGCCCAACTCCCTTCTGGTGGGAACTGGGCCCAGGAGTTGGTAGAAGACAATGAGGGCCCGGACTGTCCCCAGGGCCCTTCAGAGGAAAGTCCTAGTGGAGCCGAAAGCAACTTGGAAAGTGATGGGGGCTCTTTGCAGGCTCATGCTGAAAGAGACAAATGTGAGCCTGAAAGGGATGAGGCCTGTTTCCACGGTGATAAAGAGAGCAGAGGTCCTGAGGAAGGACTAGAAAGGAAGGAGGCCTGCTTTCTTGACAACTTGGAAATGCCAGGTGATGAGGAAAGCAATGGGACACACTTCTGCGATGGCCTCCCTGGGGTGGATGAAGACCAGAAACCAGCCACTGGCCAGCCCAGCTCTTCCCACTCCGTTGAAGCTGTCACTAGCTGGCAGGCTGAGGTCTCCCACACATGTTCTGACTGTGGGCATTCGTTCCCCCATGCCACTGGCCTGCTGAGCCACAGGCCCTGCCACCCACCAGACATCTATCAGTGCTCCCTCTGCCCGAAGGAGTTTGACTCTCTGCCTGCCCTGCGCAGCCACTTCCAGAACCACAGGCCTGGGGAGGCAGCCCCAGCACAGCCTTTCCTCTGCTGCCTCTGTGGCATGATCTTCCCTGGGCGGGCTGGCTACAGGCTTCACCGGCGCCAGGCTCATGACTCCTCTGGACTGACTGAGGGCTCGGAGGAGGAGGGGGAAGATGAGGCAGCAGCAGTGGCAGCCTCCACCCATAGTACCCCACTACAGCTCTCAGAAACAGAGCTGTTGAATCAGCTGCAGCGGGAGGTGGAGGCATTGGATGGAGCCGGTTATGGGCACATCTGTGGCTGCTGTGGTCAAACCTATGATGACCTAGGGAGCCTGGAGCGTCACCACCAAAATCAGAGTTCTGGGAACACGACAGACAAGGCTCCCAACCACTTGGGAGAGTCGGGTGATACCACGGAAACGGTTGCAGATGGCGTCTTTGAGGGCACAGTGACTTCTCTCCCTGCAGAAGGTGGAGACACAAAGTCTGGAGAGGGAGTAGGTGCCCGAGTCGCAGACAGCCTCTGCGTGCAGGGCCGGGAAAGTTCCCTGGAGGATCAGCCCCGCCCCTTCCGCTGCAATCAGTGCGGCAAAACCTATCGCCATGGGGGCAGCCTAGTGAACCATCGCAAGATCCACCAGACTGGAGACTACATCTGCCCTGTCTGCTCCCGCTGCTACCCCAACCTGGCTGCCTACCGCAATCACCTGCGAAACCACCCACGCTGCAAAGGCTCTGAGCCCCAGGTGGGGCCCGCCCCACAGGCCGGAGGTGGCAGTGAGCCCCAGAACATGGTAGAGGAGGGGCTGGGGCAGGCGGAAGTGGAGAAGCTCCAGGAGGAAATTAAAATAGAGCCCCCAGAGGAGGTGGCAAGGGTGAAAGAAGAGCCGTGGAAGGAGCCCACTCTGAAGGGGGAGGAGATGGGGCTGAGGTTGGAGACTGCGGAGAAGGGCTGCCAGACCGAGGCCAGTTCTGAGCGGCCCTTCAGCTGCGAGGTATGTGGCCGGTCATACAAGCACGCCGGCAGCCTCATTAACCACCGGCAGAGCCACCAGACCGGCCACTTTGGCTGCCAGGCCTGCTCCAAAGGCTTCTCAAACCTCATGTCCCTCAAGAACCACCGGCGCATCCACGCAGATCCCCGGCGTTTCCGCTGCGGGGACTGTGGGAAGGCGTTCCGCCTGCGGAAACAGCTGGCTAACCACCAGCGGATCCACCTCGAGCGGGGTGGGGGTGGGGGCACCCGAAAACTGGCTCGGGAAGATTGGCCCTTCCGGTGTGGGCAGTGTGGGCGGAGCTACCGCCATGCCGGCAGCCTCCTGAACCACCGGTGCAGCCCTGAGACGGGCCCGTACAGCTGTCCCACCTGTCCCAAGACCTACTCCAACCTCATGGCCTTGAAGGACCACCAGAAGCTACACGCAGAGAGCCGGCGGCGGCGAGCAGGGCGGGCCCGGCGGGCAGC